CGGGGACAGCTGCAGCTGGAGAGGGTGCTCAGAGCCCCCGCCAGCCCCACCGGGGCATCGCCACCCCGCTGGGCAGCCTGCGCCAGCCTCTCACCACCCCCGGAGGCAAAACGCCTTCCTTCTCTCTAGTCTAAATCTCCCCTCTTCTAGTTTAAGCCTGTCACCCACTGCCCCCTCACTACACGCCCTACTAAAAAGACTGCCCCCATCTTTCCCTTTAAGTCCTGAAAGGCTGCAGTACCGTCTCCCTGGAGCCTTCTCGTCTCCAGGTGGAGCAGCCCCAACTCTCTCAGCCTGGCCCCCATCCCTGTTACCATTTTTGTGGCCTCACTGCTTTTCATGCAGAGCCTTCTCAGGAGCAAGTTGATCAGTGTGGCAGCTTCCAGAAACATCACTATGCCCCTGCTCATGCACCGTTTGTAGATGAACTCCTGAGCCCCTTCTGTACACCTTTGGGACACACCTTTGCCACAGTAAAGGTGATGAACTCTCTTGTCAGAGTTTCTGACACAACAGCACACTTTTTTCCAAAGTAAAATAACTAATTTTTTTTTGTAGTTTCAAAACACATCTGAATGGTCTTAGCCTAAAACCTGTAAAAAACCCAAAACCTAGTTAGAGATCCATCTGTTCCCATTTTATTTTGCTCCAGGGATTTAATAGACCAAGGACATGTGGTATTTATTTGAAGGAATTACTCTATGTTTGATTTATCCTTTTCATTGTTTTAGCCATGCCTTCTCCTAGATGTCACCAATTTGTAAACATACAAGATGATAGGAGTCGTTCTAAGATAGGATGTTACATGTGTATCTAATCTGAAGAATAAACACTAATAATGCAAATTAGGTGCTTTGTAAGCATAAAAGGATTTCAATCATCAGGCAGATAAAGTCACTTTATTCATTTTTAGCCGTACAAACAAGGGGTCCAGATAGCAGTATCAGTGCACTGAGATACAAACAGAAGTTTCCCACACTAAATATAAATAAATAGAAATATTAGATTTGCAGTCCTTCTGATAATCTTTATAGATGCCCAATTAATATTTTCTTCATAAAACAGACATGTTTTATTTTCCCTTTTTCTTATTCTGTTCCTCCTCCTTCCACTTCTCCAAGTAACACCTCAGAATGTCATTCAGCTGCTGCTCACACTGGCTTATGTGTTGGAATCCGTTTTCCCGTCCTACAAGCAGCAAAAACCAACAGAATTACATCTCCCTTTACAGTGTCCATCACGTCCTTAGCCCATGGGGATGGGAACATCTATTTCCCCAAGCCTATCAAGTGGCTCTAAGAGCTCTGCTTTGAAAATTTTTCTTCAGAGTTCAACTTTGATGTCAACCAAGTAGGTAAATAAAATAATGATGATTCTTTTGGTACCTGTGCTTGCACTGAGTCATTCTCGGTTGCTTTTATATATTAGTTGCTTTTTATGCTTCCATTTTCCTGCAATATCCTATAGGTAACATTGCACTGTTTTCTATAGTATGGATACTATATACTTAAAGAAAATATTACCTTGGCAGTGATGAATGACTCTTCCCCACAGTCTGTTCCTACTCAGACAGGCTGGATTTCCAACAATCAACAAATGCCTCTTTGCTCTCGTCAGTGCAACGTTCATTCTCTTTTCTGAGTCTATGAACCCCAGTTGCCTTGTTCTGACACAGGACAAAACAATGATCTCCTTCTCAGCTCCTTGGAAGGCATCTACGGTGGACACCTGGACAGATTTCACCCCAAAAGCCTCAGAGTGTATGCCAGAGAGCAGGTTCTGAATCTGCAGAGAAACCAGTGGGGATGGTGATGAGTTACTCTGCCCACAGTCGATCGCTTGTCTTGGCCAACACAATTAGTCTGAGTCTACACAAGAAGCGAACTAAGAAATGGAGCCTAGATTTAGAATAAACAAATACATTTAAGAGAACTGTTCTATTGCTGATACATTATACAGACCTTATGCATCTGTGATTTATACAGAGTAATCACACCAATCACAGATCCTTCTATTCCACTTGCAATCAGGGACTGGATGAGTTTGACTGTAAAGTGAGCTTCTGCCATGTTATAAAAGCTGTTGTCCCTTTCAATCTGGAAATAGGGTAGAAAATTTCCACTTTAGCTCTCACAAACAGAAACAGAATGGAGGAAAAACAATAATACTGACTTTTTATATAAGAAGCGTTTAAAAAAAGCTTACTTGCTCTGTGCCAGTAACACTATAAAAACATAGTGTTGGAAGCCAATCCAACAGAGGACTTCTCTCTTTCTCAGAAACACCATCTATCAGATTTCCTTCGTAGAACAGCTCGTTGGCTATGGCACTGATAGCGGGGTGACAGCGGTACTGTGTCCGAAGGAGTACTGCTTTATGTCCCTAAAGAATTAGGATATAGAAAGCAGGACTAGGAAAAAGAATCACTGAATATTTTGCTGTGCCAGCTAGGTCAAACAAGAAATAAGTGAAAGAATTCCTGCAGTGAGCTGGCCTAACCTTCATATGTTCACTTCAACAAAAGTTAGCAAATACCATAGCTTCCAATTCTTCTGCCTGCACTGAGAAGTGCACAGAAAGATCAGAAGGCAGAACCTGTCACTGGTTTTCAGTCCATTCTTGGTTTACATTTGTTACATTTACAGATTTCAGCCCGTGGTGAAAATAACATTTACAGTTAAAGGTGCTAGAAGGGAACCTGCTTATTTAAAGCCCAGGCTGAATCACCAGTCCTCTGCCACGTAAACCAGACCTCCTTCAGTGGGTTCTGTGGCCCTGCAGTTTCACCTTTTCCAAGGATGTGGTTTTGTGGTACGTACCATTAAGCAAAGCCGGTCGAAGAGAGTCTGCTCCAATCCCTTTTCATGAACACTCTCAGACCCTTGAATAGTTGGTGGCAATTGCTTAGGGTCTCCAACAAGGACTAGCTTTTCACACTGAAACCTAAAGAAAAATGTCATAAAATAAGAAAAAAGAAAGTTCTTCAAAGGATGCCCTGTGTTTGTATCTCACAGGTGGCTTTCCATCAGGCTCCCTTCCCCATCACCCTCCTGTGTGCAGACACAGCTAAAATAACACGGAAACTCCAGGAAGGCACCTAAGAGCAAGCCTCAGTTTAAAGTGACTCTTCTTGCTTTCTAAGGCAAGACCTTGCATTTCGTGTTCTTAAAAAGATGCACAGCTATTTGAGGCTGTGTCACTGCTAACTCAGAGTTTTCTCTCTGGAACACAAGAGGAAGGTGGTACCTTGCAATGGGAAGGAGAGAAGCAGGTTCAGTCATTTGACTGCACTCATCCAGCATCACCACGGGGAACTTCAGAGAGTTCAGACAAGGGAAAGGACAGGCAGCACAGGTCACTCCAACCACTTTTACCTTTGTTATTAGTGAGGGGAAAACAGGCCAGGAAAAAGTTAAGGTCATTTAACAGTTAATCACTGTGCAGGACCTAACTATAGATTGGGCTAGTAGGAACACACCTACATTGATTTTTAGCTGTTCTGCTGCATGCTGTGTCTCAAAAAATTATAGTCTAACTTCCAGTAAAAGGCACTCTGTACACATGGAGATGGATCCAAGGTTACTGTTTCTTGTGCTTGGGGTGTTTATACATCAGAATCATTCACAGATTCATGTATTATAAGACCAGATCTGGTTTGGTAGAGAGAGAGTTTAGATTAAACAGTCCTCCAAAACCTTCTGAGCCCTAGCAGCAAAAGGGGCAGCAATGACCACTAGGAATAAGCACAAGAAACAAATTGCTGAGATCTGCTTTGTTACAATTGCTCTAAAACAAGCTGGGATTTTTTAAGTCTAGGACTGAGGAGAAAAGGCAAATTCTGCAAAGAGCAGAAATCGAAGACTTTTCTACAGGAAGTAATTATCTTAAAAGATAATACTTTGACAAAAAGTTACTTAAAAATGTATTTGAAATCTTCTTGGTAGTTGATACTCAACTCTAGGATAGATTTAGCTCCATCGTTATCTTTTACCTTTATGATTTTATAAACTTTAGTGTCAAGGTGACAGTGCAGACTAGCTGGACTCAGAATTTTTTCCTCTCCCCACTTTGTAAACTACACTGATCAGATTGCAGAAAGGCATATCACTAAGCAGGCACTGAGAAATCATACACAGGTAAGACACTGAGCTATACCTGTGGAATCAAACCTGTCCTAGTCCTAACAATTTAATTTTTCAAAACTAGGAGCTTGGCAGGTGTGAGAGGGGACTCCCACTTTCCTTTTGCCAGGCCTTGTGGATAAGACAAAACAAATCCCCACTTTCCTGTCCTGTCACTTGGACTGTACCTGTTGCAGTATAGTTTTGTTGGTCCCCAGTTTATGTTGCTCAATACTCTTCCTTACGTATATTTTTTCGGCTGGAGTTAAATCTTCCTTCAGGAGAGCAAGCAGCTCTTTCAGCTGCTCATTTTCATTTCCTGAGCCAGCATGTAAACTTAAAAAAGATTTTATAACATTCATTACAATCATTTAAAATAACAGTGCTCTCAGTGTTTGGTGATCACCCAATATGGAAAAATAATCATAGCTGACACAGAACACTACTTTACAACAAGGTAATAACCTATCCCACATCCAGCAGGGATAAATGAGTATAATACATGTTTTCAGACAGGTATATTTTTATCCCACCAGCTCAGACCCTGCCACCCCGAGCAGATACACACGTAGTAGAAGACTTCTCCAAGTACACAGATGACTTCAGAACAAAGTAGAGCTGAGGAGAAGTTTTTCATTCTTATGCCGTTTATACTCTTGGTATTTCCAAGGAATGGAAATTTAATCTTTCTTCAGTTTGAACTTGACATTGTTCTCTCAAATTGTATTGAAAGTGCTATGAAGCTTGTTACTTTTAAGTGGTTAAAGGACAAACCCCAGAACTCCATAGCAAAGATAACTTGAATAAGTAGCCAGAATCCATGAGTTGTTACCATTAATTCTCTGAACGTTAAATTCATGATTACTTCATCCTAGTTCCTATTGTTACACCAGTACATCTCTTTTTTGAGCCAGTCTGGCTTGCTGTTCCCATTTAAAAGCAGTTCTTCAGCTGTTTAGCAACACATGACATTCCCAAAGCAAGGTAAAATTTCTCCACCGTGTGGAGGAGATGACAACAACATGGACAGGATGACCCTGAGATAGGCACATTACAAGCACATTTTGGATTACTTCAAAATAGTAATTTCACAGCCTGCATTACTATCATAAATCTTAGAAATGCTTCAGATCCCTCCAAGATTAAGATTCTTACCTATGGGGAAGGATTGCTTTGGTGATTTTCCTAATACTCCCCACTCTGATAAAATCCTCAAATCCAAGATCAAGTAGACTTCAAAAGAAAAAGAGATTATATACATTACGGAAGTGTATAAAGCAATTTTGAAGCATTTAAAAGTGGTTCTGAAAAGGCTAACAGACACCTGAGAACACTGAAGAACACAGACATCTGTGATTAACCAGATGAAGTAACTCGGGCCACAATTCAGGTAATATTTGTCTCAAAAATGCTTAATGCTTTTAAGATTCTTCTCTCATAACCAGTCTTCCATCTGTAATTTCCCTTCCTTCCTTCATCTTCCAAACCATGAGTTTTATTTCATGTTAGCTTCATGCTGAATCTTCCCAAGTTCCTGAGCCTCTCTGCCTTTCTCTCCATCCCTCCATCCCCTTGTGGATGCCTAAAGATTCCTCAGCAATACTACTTCCTGTCACAATAGATTTTAATGGTAAATTTGATGAGAGTAGAGCCCACTATTAGCCTCACATAAATCCAGGCAGTTAGTCTTATAGCCTTTTAGCATGTGCATGCTGTGCAAAGGAGCAAGGGTACAATTAAAGCCCATGTCTGGCACTTCTTTTTGAAGTGTTATACTGAGAACATCAACACCACTATCTTTATCAGTGCGTTGTTTTGGAAAAACAGCCTGTAAAAATCTGAGTAACCTACCCCAGCAGTATCCTGTCGACAGCAACGTTCGTGGAAGAAGCAATCAGAAGTTTCCATGGAGCTGGCCTTGGACCCTCTGTAGCTTCACTGCTTTCAAAGAGCTGTACTAGGAACAAGATCACGACAGAGAGCAGATAGCTCTTGCCAGCTCCAAAAACACCTAGTATTTTGGAAGAAAGAGCCCAAGTTACAACTGAACATCTTCTAAAAGGTACATTTTTTTTCTATATCTTAATCAATTATTATAATTTATCTTATGGTATATTATGCAGTAGTTCCTGTAAAAATGTTGCATGTGCTTGCTCCAGCAGCTCTGAGTATCCAGGGGCAACCAGTTGCCTTATACTTTGCATTTACTGCCTCTGCCAGGTTTACAAAAAACTACAGAAGAGGGGAAGCTGAGATGTTTTTCCTCAATTTTTCTGCTTGAAAACATGCATTACTTGTGGAGGAGTCTCATCAGTACTTACACAATAGCACAAATGCCAGTATCTGCCTGCACATCCCTCGTACCATGTCTTCAGGTACAGAGTAAGGAATCTGAGAGATGATTACTTTGAAATGAGCAATGATTTTAACTAGATTAATATGCCTGACAACCTAACAAAAGCTGAGGCAATTTAAGTCTAGTGGTACCTGTACTAAAGGTGTCATTATTGTCTATGTATTTACTTTGACAGGATCTGAAAACTTATGTTTATGGTAACTGCTTTTCAATACTGATTTAAAAAAAAAAAATCTTTCAGCTGAGCTGTTAGTAGCATTTTTGTGCATGTTGAAAACAGGTAAAACACAGATAGAAGTAAGTATAAACCAGCAAGGAATAATGTGTAATAGAAAAAAAAAAAAAAGATAATTTATCAAAGCTGATACAGGAGAAAAAGTAGTTTTAGTATGAAAAGAAATAAGCAGAAGACACTAAATAACTTTGTGTCTAGAGCTTGTTAGGAAGAACTCTATATTTATGTAAAATCCTGCAAAAGGCAGAATGCAAATTCAAGGATCCAAAGCTCTGTGCTGACAGGAGGGATGTTATCATGTCAAGGTCGTTATCAGAGTGGCTTCATCCAAGAAATCAATTTTCAGGAAATGAATGCAGTAGGTGGGGAAACCACATTATAAGAGTTTAAAAGGATATTCCACACAAAGAGGCAGTTTATTCAAGCTCTTCTTTTGTGCTGTGTTTAAAGGAAGTCAACATTTACCTAGGCATAAGAATCTCCCTTTAATTCTACCTGGAAACTTAAGTATCTGCCTAAAGAAAGAAGCCTACTGTTTCATCACCGAGAGAATTTAGGGATGTTTCACTAACATTGGCATTACCTATTAATTAGCATTTTTGGCAAAGACACAATAGCAGCAAATTTCACAATTATTTGCTGCATACCACGTATGATTGTGATGGGGAAGATGTGACGTTCTCCCTCTTGTTTGCTGTCTTCGCAGGTCATCATCTGCGCTATCTGAATCAGTGACGTTGCTTGATCTGGGTTCAGCGAGAACGTTTGGATCATCTTTTCAGCTAATCCCATTGCCACCTCAGTGCTGACAGGTCCAGGCATCATTGTGTATTTCAGGCTGATGGTGGGTGGAATAAATTTTCTTTTGTTGACTCTATTAGTAGCATTTTCAGAATCAAGATTCCTAAGATAAAACACAATGGTCAAAAGCCGTGCTATCATACTGCGTACGTATTGTTTGCATCTGTTCTGATACTCTTACCTGACATTGAAATGCTGAGGCTTTGTGATTAACAGCTGGTATAATTAAAAGTTGTGGCCCCCTGTACTTGACATACACCCAGGCTGTATATTCCTACCCCTTATAACTTCCCTGAGTGAAAGCTGGATATGAAATGGGGTTTTGGGTTTTATCATTGTTGCTTTCAGTCTGACGGACAGAACTAACAGTTGTAGAAGTGGTAGAAGAACATAGCAGGGATTAATTTAATTACTGGTTTTATACAGTGAATTGTAAGTAGTCTCAGAAATATCCCTCCAAGAAAATATATTCTCCAGGAAAACATTTTATTTTTAGGCTTTGTGTCAAGTGACTCTAAAAATTAGGAAGGAAAAAACGGTTCCACGTTAAGTTAATCCGCTCAGTCAGTGACTGTACTATCAGTCTGATGGTTGTAGCAATGCCTGATATGAATCCCTAGGTTGTAAAATGTGGGCTGCAGGTAAGTTTTAAGGCAAAAAGCTTCCAATCAAGTTAGAGTTAAGCAACTGATATATTTTCATTTCCACATAAATGAAGATTGCATTGTCAATAGTTCATTCCTCACACTGATTTTCTGATTTTAGTTTTTCTCCTCCATTTTTTAACTTTTTAATCAAAGTGCCACTGAAACAGTAACTTACAGTTTTAGTAGATATGGTGTTAGTGGTAAGGTGGATGGATTCAAGTGCTCCTCTAGATTTCTTAAAGATGTCAGCTCACCACTAGCGTTACAAACCAGCAAGGCATGAACACATGCTGAAAAAGCCACAGGAAAACAAAATTAGGAAAAAAATTCAATGAGCCCAAATTTCAAATCAGCTAGATAAATGAATTTTAAAATGCCAGAAGAGTAACTAGCCTCCTCCAACAGAAACCAATTACTATGTCCAAGTGAACATTCTAGATGAGGAGAGACCCTTTTGGCCTTCTTTTCAAGGTGCGTTATTTCGAAGTATTTGATTCCAAGATTAGGAACCTTCTGGGAAGCAAGCTTAGATAAAAATCCTGTGGAATTTAGGAGGTGAATTTTTTAAGTAACCTGTCTGTATCACAACAGCTACGCAGATGTTTTCTTAAAAAAGGCAGGAACGTAAGAAGACCTCCAATGGGCCAGACTCAAGTTCCATCTAGTCTAGTTCCCAAGTGTACAAAAATCACTTAAAGCTTTATTTTCATACAAATTCAGGGTTTAGTTTTGTAAGGGTTATAGAATTATAAACTAATCCATATTTATGATCTCAATGAAAGTTTGGATGAAACATTTCCTTAGAAAAAATAAAAAGCTGTGTTTCAATAGCATCAAAACTGAAAAGCTAATGTATTAATTCTTCCAGGCCCTCACTGCTCAAGAGATCCAGTCCTGCAATCCACACTCAGAGAACAAACAAAACCAAACCTCTAATTCCATTTGAAGCCCCTGACTTTGAGAGCATGTGTGCCCACAAAGAACTTGGGTGCCACTGTATTTTTTTTTTTTCCTGTATTTTTTAGACTTATGAATGTAATTACTCCAGATCTTTCTTTTACAAAAAAAAAAATATAAAAAAATAAAAAAAGGAAACCAACAAACCAAAACTTTCGCTCATCAGGGAAAATCAGAAACTTTCGCACCATGTCACAGAAGAATGACAGATGTGCTGCCAAACATCTATAGCAGAGCCACATGATTTCTTTCTGCATTGAAGGCCCACTAAATCTTCCTGTTTCCAAAATACTGATGACAAAATATCACAAAAACGGCTCAAACAAAAATGTTAAAACCCACACGAAGGATGGCTACAACTTATCTTGCTAAAGAATAAAAAGGTCAGCAGTTCATTAAAACCCATCAGTGCTAGGTCTAGCACTACTTTCTTTTCAAAACACTATGATGAAAATACCTAAAACTAGACAGTTTTGGTTTTTTCCGAATTTTGAAAGAAATATTTTTTAGGCATTCTAGACTGTAGTAACAGAGGCCCAGAAAGGAACATCAGAACAGCCAAATCACAGATTTAAGACATAGCTTTTTATATAAATTTTCCACAGGGAGTTGTTTGGGGTTTGTTTTTCTGTTTGTTTTTCAAGAACAGTAACAGCATATTCCTGTTAGGTACACTCTGACAGTCAACTGGTGCTCTATATTACATTATTTACTACATTGTTTATATTATCCTTATTTCCCCATCACCCATTTAGAATTTCTTATCACCTGCTTTGCAGTTTAATTGCATTAAGCATTGCATTCAAATTACATATTCAAAGATGAAAGGAAAAAAAAATAGAGTGAATAAAACCACATATTACATATGAGAAACTCTCATCTCATCCTTCATTGCTGGCCAGATTTTTCCCTCAATAGTTGTTTGCCACAATTTTGAATTGCTGAGTGTAGAACTTACTATTTGATCTCCAGTTGGAGGGGCAGTAGCCTTTCAGCGGCAGTAATTCTATTTCATTGTTGGAGGATGGTCCAAAGAAAGCACTATTTGCAATGAAAGTATCAAGGGGATCAAAGTTCAGAGTCTTTGAAACAACCCAGATATCATCTGTCAAAAAAAATACAGTGTGTTAGTTCTGTTCTAGAAGAAGAAATAAATAATTTGCAGTTCTTCTAGCACTTGCTGTCTGAAATTAATGGTAACTATAGAAGCTCTCTCCTGGCATAGTTGGCAGAGTTTCACTTCTGTCAGATCTGAAGTATTATCTAGTTGACCATGCTTTTGCCAGAGGACAGCAAGTCCTGAAATGTACATTTTCCTTTCCCTTTCAAAACAAACAAACTATGAAGATATGGGTAGAGTAATGCAAAAATTACTGAAGTGAAATAAACTATTGAGTCCATCTGGATCAAACCACTGAATGTCCTCCAGCTTTGTGACATTTCAATAATTAGAAGAGATATGCAACAGCTACTGCAACACCGATTTTTACAGCAAATTTTCCCTAAATCTCATCTATTTGAATACTGAGCTCTCCTGAAACTTCATTATTCACAGATTCCGTACACCACAAACCCAAGGACAAGGAATTTATATTTTTCTAAGGTCGTTGAACATTTACAAGAAAAGATGAATTAATGAGATATTTTGTTGCCCTTCTAGAATGAGAATTGAATTATCAGGGTTGTGAGTTTAAAAACAGGACTCAGTTTTTTCTCTTCCTATTACAAATTAAGACTTTAAAGAGGCACAGCATGACATGGACAATCCTTGTGATGCCTCATATTTGCTTACCTTTGCTGTAGAGAGAATAATGCTCCCTACTGCATAGCTTGAGGTATAATTTGGTTTTGGAATCATCATCAAATGCGGTAGATGCATTCATAAATTTCTTGAACTTACTACACCGCTGCATCTGAATTTCAAAGGCTTTCCTGTTAAATTGTAATTTTAAGAAGTTTGTAAACAAATGGCTCATTTTGAGTGCATCACCAAAAATAAGAACGCTCCATAGACTGGATCATATTCTACAGCACAGATCTTGGCAGTTGCTCTTCACCTTACATTACCAAGTTTTAAATACGTTCATCTTCATTGCAAAATACATCTCCCATCTTCAGCCGTCATTCAGTTGTTTTCCCTTCAGCTATTATTCCTTAATTTGTCTTTTACATTTCTACACAGAACCTCTTTGAACACACTGAGTGAAAGCATCTGTTAAATACTACTGGAATCCAGAGCTACTGGAATATTTCCCAATCCTGCAATTCATGTAGCACTTGGGAAAAGTGAACAGTGTTTCAGAATACCTCACCAAAAGCTGGCACCCCTCATAAAGACAAATCTTTTGACTTCTGAGGTATATCCCAATACTTTTTACATCATGAAGCACCACAGCAGGTCTCGATTTTGTCTGTGCAGGGTTCACATCTTCTATCCACTTGAAAAATGAACACTGCTCAGCTTTTGAGGCATCACAGGTATAGAACAAACGACCCTAGGAAGGAAGGGGAAAAAAAAACACAAATGAGACCATAAGCAAAAAAAAAAAGAAAAACAACAACAAAACCAAACAAACCCCACAAAACAGTAAAGTGATGGACCAGTACTCAGTGCTATAGAAATAACCAGATAATTTGGCTGAAAAACACCAAGTGTGTTCCCAGAACTCTCAGCTTCTAAAGCCAGTGTAATTGTACCTTACAGAAATCCCATATAACCCCGAAAATGATAAATTCTTGTCCTTCTACATCTATAAAGCTGTTTGTCTATGGAGAAAACTACTAGTTAGTTCTGGACACTAATAGATACTGATGTTAAAATGGTCTTTTAGCTGATGTTAAAAGTGATCTGTGTAGCACATCCCTTCAACCTGTCATTGTAAATACTACAGAATTGCCCTGTAATTGTTCACACAAACTCACTCCCCAAAACAAGGAATAAACAGCACCTTGTTTTGGCCTTCTTTTTTAACTGCCACAAGCTTAGCAGGACGCATGTGATTGCACAGTGGGACGCAGCTTTCTTTGCCCTCCTTTTGCCCATCTTTCAGTGAAGTGTAAAATGATATATCCACTTTTGAAAGAGCATTGTGTAATCGTTGGGAGGACTCAAACAGCATTACGTTTAATTGCTCTTGACAGAGAAAGGAGAATAAAAGAATTATTAGTGCAGCCTTAAAATGGTTACACAAGTACACAATGTTCAGACAAATACATTTTCCCTTGAAACTTTCAATCCCAAATCGGATTCAAAATAAATCAGACTCAATCTGAGTCCTAAAAGAAATCACGTGATGTGCAAAATTCACATCTTGCACCTGGAATTAATTTGTTCAAGCTGCCTTACTTTCATTCAAATCACATTTAAGGATATGACTCCAAATGATGCAAACACTAGATAATTGTAAAAAAAAAAAAAAAGTAAACAGCTTAGACAGGCATCTGAAGACTATGAAACGGGCACAAGGATACATAGCTGAACACAAGTGCACTGGTCTTCTGGGTGGGCAATTCTGGGTATAGACTGAATTTATTTCAGTACATACAACCAAAACCAGATGCATACAGTTGCTCCAGTAGATGATGCCCATGTTCTCTCTCTCTCTCACCCAACTTTGTGAAGCTGGAGGAACAGTCTGGTGAAAAACGACAGCATTTTACATAGCATGGTGTTAGACGTACCTGTCAGAGCTGCTTTAAAAATCTGCTTGTAGTGAACATGAGACTGAAAGACAGTTGGTATGGAAATGTTTCTTTTAGGAAGACTAGTGTGTTTAACTCGAGCCACAGTAGGAAAAGACAACTCAGGAATCGTTATGGCCTAAAACCCAGAAAAATATACTATTAGAGCTGGAATGAGACAAATTTTTATTAACAGACTTTGTTAATTGTAAGTACAAGAGCATCTGTTCAATAAGACTGCCAACAGGAATAAAATTAAGTACAGCATAGAGCTTGGGCTGTCATTTAGGATGTACAAGGAAGTCAAAATGTGCCCCTTGACAAACAGTCTGTATTTATAACAACACAGATAACAATTTCAAAGGCTTTAGAGTAAATTATGTCATTCAGAATCGCGTTCTCAGTGCTAGACATGGGGATGGAGCACAGAAACCCCATTTTTAACACCATTTTCCTCCATTTGTTTAAGACATGTCGACTGATTACAAACAGCTGTGCTGTTTGTAATCTTTAGGTGCTTATTCAAGGCCATAACTTATTTTTCCACAACTAAACCTGAAGAAATGAAAATTATTTTAAAATCAGAGGCTACGCTTTGAAGCAATGTATGGGCATTCATTAAAAAGATGCTGATTTCACAATTAAGGAAAACACTTCTTACCAATTATAACAAACATCTTCTTACCAATTATAGATGACAAAATAGCCCCACAGCTTTTATTTCATCTTCCTGCCACCAATATTCAGGCTGAAAACCTAAACCTGGCACTGTGTGCACCTTTACGAAAGGTCAGTCACGGCACTTAAAAAACCACATTAGCAGCTGCCCTTCTGTAGCTGAGACTCTTTTGTGTTACTAGGCACGTAGGAACATTTCATCCAATCACACTGATAATATCTTGCAGGCAATCAGATAAATGCAGTTACTTTGTCCAGAAAAATGTGTTTCTGTCACTGGTAACTGTATTTGCTGGAACAGTTACACACCTGGCCATCTCCTGTTACAGCATGGCAGCTCAGGTGACTTAACACCTTTTGTGTTGCTTCAGCCAGAGGTGTCCGACTTAAGTGCAGAGAAAGTAACTTCCTCTCTGAAACCAAATCCTGGGTGCTGGCATTTGGACAGGGTTTACCAAGCATACTCTTTGCTGTCAGGAGAGGTGCAGGGCCAGGAGCACTCTGGTTCACAGCACTGCTCTCTCCTGTGTCACCCCGCAGCATTCCAAGGACGTTCTCAGCACAGATGTCATCGCTGGCGTCGCTGTTTTGAGTTATCGGGTCACACTGAGCACTGTTTTGATATTTTAGCCACTTGCTTTGTCTATACTGTGAAGCCACATTAGGAGACACTGGTTGTACAGACTCCCTTTGTCTGTCCTCCTTTTGCTCTCCCAGCAGAGAGGTTTCACAGTTTCTGTCCTCGGGGCCAAAAGCACTAATAGGAAATACTGCTGACTTGATGCCTAAATGGGCTGCTGAGGAGCTGAAGGAACACTGCACCTCCTTGCTGTCAGCTGGATAAACCACGTCAGGAATCTTCTCAGTGGCAGGAAGAGCAACAAATGGAGTCTGTGGTTTAACTAGGGGTTTGAATCTTGAGGGGCTGCACTCCTCTGGATAGCTGGGTTTCTCCCGGGCTGTAGGGCAAACACATCTTACAGACAAACTGTAGCGCTTACAGAGGGCACATTAACTTCAGGTGTACAAGAAACTAAAAGAAAGGATTCCAAGTTCATCCTTTTTTATCCTGTCTTCTAGTTGGCAAGCGCTTTGTAACGCGCCTGTGCAGCACACACTAAATTTCCACACGACAGGGGTGATTTCAATTGTGATTCTTTTACTATTTAAATCCTTACATTCAGAACAGATTTCTGTAGCCGCTTGTAGAAAAGAAAACATTTGGCTGAAATAATTTAAACATTATTGTATTTTGGAGGTCATTAAGCTGATATTCTGTCAAAGGGCTGGCAACTGGAAAACAAACAGCTTAACCTTTGTTCCTTTTTACAAAAAGATCACCGCAAAACTGTAAATAAATATTAAACAATGTAGACCAACAGGCTTCTCCTAGCACAAGCATCCTTTTGACCAAATTTGCTATCAGTAACAAATGACAGTCATTGATAGGTGTCAGCTAGAAGTGGGCCAGAGAACAGCTGAATATGAACAAAAACTAAAAGCAGGTAGATAATTTTAAACTTGAATATGAATTAGAAGCTTACTTTACAGCCTTTCCCCCCCCCAAACTATAAGCTGATTTTTTCTTTATAAATTACATTTAAATTACTCTTCTGAAGTCTCTTTCAGAAGAATATAACTGGGGATGAGGGGCATGAAATTCAAGGCTAATGCAACTGATTTGGAAATTCTTTAAATTTCCAAATTGTGTTTTAAAACTGTTTAAAAAAAAATGTTTAAATTTGTACTTAAAAAAGTAACACATACCCCTGTGAAAAACATGATAAACAAAATCAAACTCTGTAGTTACCCAGACATTGCTCAGTGTATTTCAGCACCCAGGTTACTGTCTGTGAGAGTGCAACTCACTGAGCTTCAAAAATCCTCAAAGATTTTCTAGCAAAAATGTTGTGAAGTGCTATTATAATTTCTTACTGAAAAAGAATTCTGGAAGTTCTGGTTCACTTGGCAAGATCCTGTGTGTCAGGGGCTCCTGGATGTCTCCAATAGTTTCCTCACTTCCACAAGCTGGAGAAACTGTAGAGTCTGGATGAAGTGAGGAAGTCAGTTCTTCTGATGAAATCATCTACAGATGAAGAATTAACATGTCAAGTGAATGACTGGGAAAAAAAAAAAACAAAACACCTTGATTATAGCTCTTTTGACACTATTGTCTCTCTCGTTATCCTGAAACATGTGAAACGTCTCTCAGAGTTGAGGTAAAACAGTGTCAAAAATAAGAAATTGCCACCATGAACACAGAGGAAATAAAGCCAAGACGCTCTGGAAGCGACAGTCAGTTCACACCTTGTCAGGTGCCCACGGAGTCCACTGCGTTTGTCGCAAGGCAGAGGGCAGAGGTGAGCCTGACATTGTCCATGGTGGAACTTCAGAACACCCGTTCAATGCCAGTGCTAGGAAAAATGTATGAAGGACAGAAGTCAGGCAGGATAACTGTTCTGAGGCCTATCCTAGCCATTCTGCTTTTACTTGCACTTACAGGGGTGATCTGTTCTGGATTCTTTAGTAACATTGGCCCTCTCTAGAAAATTCTCTTCTCTGATAAAGTTAGTATCATCCTCTTGAAGACTTCTTGAACCTGAAAACTTTACCAAAAAAGTATAACAAAAAAACTTGTTAGAAATTAAACTCTTTGTATAAACATATCTTTGTGTCAATCTTGTTTCTAAGATAATATCACTTATTTCTAAATGTTATTGCTAGATATAATTCTTCAGTATCTCTAATCCCTTCTGGAAGTAAACAATGAAATATCATTTTTCTTCCATTATTTTAAATATTGAAATATATACTGCCTTAATATTACAGGAACTTTTTTTTTTTTTTTTTTTTTAGAAAACATGATATGCATGTCATGTTTCTTTGCATCTGGGAGGAACAGAATCATAATCCAAGAAAGAAAGCTTTCACCCTTGCTTTGGAACTCTCCAACAATTATATACCAAATTTCAAATCCCGTTGAGGTGAATAGTATACTGCTAACACCAGGAAACAACAATGATAAAAGCCCTTGACCAGTGGTCTCTGGAAGAAATCTCTCTGTTTAAATATCACACATTATGAATATGTACATTTTGCAAAGTGAAAGAGACCAGAGGAAAAAAAGTAAAAACCAAACATGACAAAAAACCCCAAACAAGTAACATCTTGCAGATGCATGCTTCTGTGACAAAGATGAGTAAAAATAATTCTCTAACTGAAATGTTTAAACAACAAAGCACTACATAAGGTTCTTAAGTGATTTTGATATTTTTGTTGTATTCTAAAGATGAATTCTATTTTATCCTGCATTTAGAGGATACTTCCTTGTACTAGGGTTACTAAGAATAACTTTGAAAAAAAAGTTTTACCTCTCTGAAGGTAGAAAGGAGATAACTGCTTGAAAAGAGGGGTTGCAAAAATCTCTCAGTGGCAAATTCTGTATTATCTGGGTACTGCTGCCATCCTAGCTGTGAGCAGGGAGCTCTCAACATTATCTCACTAGCTGCCGATCCCTTTACTTGGTGCCCTTGAAACGCAACAGGCTGCACGATACACCACAATCATAGTTAGCTGGAGAGAAGTACTGATCTGGAACCACTGACAGTCAATAAAGTACTTTGCATGCACACAACAAAGAACATCTGTTGGAAACTGCAGAAGAAAAATATCTATGCTTTTCTCTTTCTCTTGCACTCCTGCAGCTCAGCAGCAATAAAGTTCTTCCACAAATCTCTTTCAACAGAAAATTGATATTCTGGTGTAGCATGTTTAGGCTGCCTTTTGTATTGTAAAATTTGGGTTTAAAATACTCCGTGGAGAACATCCCCCAGGCAAATGTACTAAAAAGTGATGAGAATGCCTATTGTGAGACTGGTTAAATATTTATTAGGACTTACTGTAATATATTGCAAATAATAAACCACTGAATTGAAATTTAAGAGACACTAATTGTTAAAATTCAATTCCACAGAAATTGTACCATTGGTTGGCAGTCAGATGTCCTAGGGTCTGCTAGGGCTGCTGCTAGTGGTAGAACACATGCCTCTGTCTTCTGTAATGAATTGCCCACACAGTCAGGCTGCATATAAATGTATCAAAAGCTAATTAGTCTAACAATTTAATAACTATTTAAAGCAAAAAGTTAAGCTAAGAGATTTCTTGTATGTATACAAGAGAAAGCATTTTAATTACAGCCTTTTTTTTTTTTTTTGGAAGCCAGAACAATCCATGATAGGATAAGAAACAACATTTGCTTTTCAAAGAATTTAATTTAAAACATATTAAAAATCTTTCTTTCACTTTGGATGGCTTGAAAGAAAAATTACTATGTTTGGACCAAAATCAATGTAAAACACAAACCACAAATAAATACTGAAACACAAACCACAAATAAATACTGGGGGAAAAAAAAACCTCTAACCACAGATTTGGCAATGTATTTCAACCCCAGTGCTAAAATTCCTAGGAAAACCATTCAAAAAAGATAGTGAAAGAAAAGAAGAAATAGATGGCAAAAACAAGATGGTGTGGGGAAGGAGAATTACCAGACACACTAATGTGATATTAAACGTAACTAAATGTTACAATTTGAATTATGTTTCTTGTTAAACATTAGGCCTCCTGAAAATTTACTGGCAGTAGGGTCTGCAAGAGGACATTTTCTGAGACTATCAGTGTCTCAGTCAACGCCTCTAAGCAGTTTCTAGCTCAGCCTCTCTAGTTTCATAAAGCAAAAAGTTATTCAAGAAGCCTGGTGGAAAATGAATTGATCTTGTCAGATAAATATACGTAGTAAAAAATTGGTTACCATAAGGCCAGAAGAATCAAAGTATGGACAGGAAGATGCCTGTATACTTTTGGTGTAAGGCATTTCTGTAAACTGTTTTATAGCTACAAGAGATGGAAAAGCATAATAAGTTACAGTTATAGTATACTTTTTACATGAAAACACCTGAATATTTACTGGGCTTGCAAACCTTACCCATGCAAAGAATTGCACAGTTAGGATTTAACGAAACTAAAGCAAACAAAGACACAGACTTGGAGCCCATAATTGTTGATTTAAACACTAAAAATTGCACAAAGGAATCTTCACAATGCATCACAAGTATGACTGCTGAATATTAATTGCCCAGCAGGAGAGATAAGAGCACAGAAGTCAAAGAGGTACAGTTATACAGAATTCACTTCAAAACAGAAGCTGACCTAACCTTCATCATTCACCAGGGGTTCAAATATCTCTTTAGAATTCTCTGCTTCATATAATACACTATGATTTTCCTCCATCTTTTGTAAGCTTTCTAATGCTGTGCTATGTTGAGTCAAAGCTCCTAGAAGAGCGATATTGTTTACCAAATCAGGAAGACCTGATGAATTTTCAGTCACTGTCGTGCATTTCAGGCAATCCATTCCTGTTCTTTCACCTCTGCAGCCTCCACAAGAGGCATCTGTGCTCTCGACACGTGCAAACTCAGGTTCACCAGCTGCTGTTTCCTCTGGAGGCAAGCAGCCTTTTCCTAAAGCATAGATAGAATTTCTGGAAATGAGAGCATCTTTCTCATATGAAATGCCAGATACCTTTTGATGGTCTTCTGGAATATATTGGAACAACCCACAGCTAGGATCAGATTTTTGTGACAAAGCCAGCAAAGGACTGCCTGGTTTAATGTCATCACTCTTAGTACCCCAGAAGTGTTGTAAATCATCATCTGGGCATTTCATACATCCGAGCTGTAGAACATCTTCAGTCCTTTTGTCCACTGCCGAAATTATCTGACTGGTAGAAATGCAGGAAATACTTCCAGTTTTCTCAAACATAGAGGTTTTAGGGTGACATTCATTAACATTTGTGTCACTAGGCAAAAGATCAGAGGGCTTGCTTTTTATCCACAGCATGCTATTAATGCTATGCCCTGCACAGCCATCAGGATCCCTCATATTGTTTGTGGCTTCAATACTTAATTGATTTTCATTAATTTCTCTTGTGTTGTGTCCATCACTCAAAAGCTCCATTTGAATTCTGGTCTGGTTTGCAGAGTCTTCTGCAGTCCTCCCAGCATCTCTGACGTTGTTCTCCCAAAGCTGAGGTGGTGTACCCCCACTGCACTGATTTCCATTGGTCTCTCCATCAAATGCTGAACATTGGACCTCTTCAGTTTTCCTGTGCATTCCTACTTCACAGCAAGAATGAAGCCTCAATGCAGCATATTGTGCTACATCTCCCGTTAAGCAATCTGGACCTGGTGAAAGCTTGTCTCCTTCAGTGAGTTTATTAACATCTCTTTCACACAGGTCTTCGCTGTCTGTGTCATTAAAATCAAAAGCATCCACTAGATTAAAGTTAACCTCCATCACCTCTTCATCTGGACCACAGACTTTGCCATGTGTATTTAATTCCTCCTTTTCAACTCCCATTTCAGTCAACGTTCTGTCCTCAGAGAGCTCCAGGTCACTAGGCACTCTTTCAGAATTTTGTCTTGGCTGAAGCTCACTTTGCAGCTTCACAGATGATCTCTCCTGGAGACTGTCAGTCACTGAATGTTCCCTGTATTTGGAGAGAGTTTTTTCAAAGGTCACTGGGCTTACTGAAAATGAAATGTCACCTGAGGATGGGCCAAACTCACTATTGCTCATTCTACTTATGGTAGATTCAAGTAGGAAGCAACTAGTTGTATTGCAGGGATCTTGTAAGTCTTGACTTAAATTACTTGCCTTTTTGTCATGTCTCTGTCCTGTAAATTTGTTATCACAAGGTTGTTCAGCTGAATTTAGAAGCATTTCAGCATTCCATTCCTTCTTACAGTTTACAGTTCCCTTTGCAAAAGGCAGGTGCTGAGTATTTCGTGTGAGTCTTCTGGCAGGGCTGCCTGAAAAATCAGGGTTATAGAGACTATCACTGTTTTCTGATGCCTGAAACCTAGAAGGACATGCTGAGACTTCAGACCACATTTGCTCTCTGCATCCTTCTGTTGGTTTAGACTTCAAAAGAGCTATTATCTGTGCTGTGCTCCTGATGTTGTGTGACACTGCCCCGTGACCAGCTGTCCAACTACTAGATGTGACATGTCCAGAAATTAGAGGAGGTTCTGGCTTCACCAGGGACTGATCGGAGTATTGCTTCTCTGTCTCCTCACGTCTGTCAGGAGTTGGAGCTGAAAGCAGTGAGGAGAGGGACACGTGTTCTCCATCACTACCTGTACACGCACCTTCACGGTAGCCTGCACATGGATTTGTTTCTACATCCTTCTTGCAAATCGTAGAAAATAATGGAGAGGTAACATAAAACTTGGGTGGAAAAGAACCTTGACACTGCTTAGATGGCAATATTGTTGGGCTTTCTCCCTCTTCTATTGTTGCTATTTTCTTCTCAACTTGGCGTGGCCCTCGGAAACCCTAGGAGAGAAATTTTAAATTAATTCTAACCAGAAGTGAAGTTCACATTTCATAATTAAGTGTTGAAAAGAGGGCATGCCGTGTAAAATAGATTCTGATCAGGTTGCACATGACGATTCCATAGGCGTACAGAAATAATCTCAAGTCCTTGTGATATTCACTGCAGCCTTGGCAACAGCAATCCTGCTAAACCAAACAGATTTAGTAAACTCTGGAAAAAATAGCTACCAGGAACACATTCTGGCTTACAGGTCAAAAAAAAAATTCCTTAGATGTGTTTTAAAATGCACGTGAGCATCAGACAGCTTTTGAAACAAAGACATACCATGAACTTCCTTTTCAAGCCGACAGACAGGTGTCTTGGAGGGGGAACATCAGCTTTTACACCATTTCTATCCACTCCTGGAGTTTCTGTGTTCCTCAGCTGACCTTCAGAAGGTCCTTCATTCACTTTCACTGCTTCAACTGTGATCAAATATCGCTCACTTTCTAAATTAACTCCAGCATTCAGCTAGAAGAGAAAGCAGCAGTGTGTATGGTATTGTGCTGTATAAGAAACAAGCAGTCTTATAAATACTTAAATGCAAACATTTCAGAAATTTATACCTAGTTTATCATAGCTGCCATATAAATACTTAGGTTAAAAATCACAGAATCACAGAATGTTAGGCATTGGAAGGGAACTCTGGAGATCATTGAGCCCAACCCCCCTGCCAGAGCAGGACCATCTAGTCTAGGGCAGGTCACACAGGAACACATCCAGTTGGACCTTAAAAGTCTCCAAGGCAGGAGACTCCACAACCTCCCTGGGGAGCCTGTTCCAGTGCTCTGTAACCCTTACAGTAAAGAAGTTCTTCCTCATGTTGAGATGGGACTTCCTGTACTCCAGCTTGTGTCCATTGCCCCTTATCCTATCACAGGGTACAAGTGAAAACAGGTTGCCCCTTTCTTCTTGACACCCAGCCCTCATATATTTATACACATTAATTAGATCTCCCTTTAGTCTTCTCTTCTCCAGAGTAAACAGCCCCAGGTCTCCCAGCCTTTCCTCATAAGGCAGGTGTTCCAGTCCCCCAGTCATCCTCGCAGCCCTTCGCTGGACTCTCGCCAGTAGATCTCTGTCCCTCTTGAAATGGGGAGCCCAGAACTGGACACAATACTCCAGGTGAGGTCTCACCAGGGCAGAGCAGAGGGGGAGGAGGACCTCCCTTGTTCTGCTGGACACACTTTTCTTAACGCACCCCAGGATACCATTGGCCCTCCTGGCCACAAGGCCACACTGCTGTCCCATGGACAACTTGTTGTCCACCAGGACTCCAAGGTGCTTCTCCATGGGGCTGCTCTCTGGCAGATCTCCTCCTAACCTGTACTGGTGCATTTTATTACTTCTCCTCAAGTGCAGGACTCTGCACTTATTCTTGTTGAACCTCATGAGGTTCCTCTTTGCCCAGCTCTCCAGTCTGTCCAGATCTCACTGAATGGCCACACAGCCTTCAGCTGTTTCAGCCAAAACTCCCAGTTTTGTATCATCAGCAAACTTGCTGATGATACGAAAAATCATATATAAATATATATATACACTACAAAAAATACAAAAATATATAGAGATATCTAAATAGTATATACTAGAAATATATAAAAATATAAA